GAATCTTAAGAACTATTTGAGAAATACAATGACCCAGGACAGACTGAATGGATTGGCACTGATGCATGCCCACAGAGACATGGATTTTGACCTTGAACGTATAATAGATTTATTTGCTGAGTTACAACCTAGGAGAATGAGAATGGAAAACATTTTGTAATAATTTTTTGCACCAGCTGTTTCTAGAGTACTTGTGAGTTATGTTCTGTCTGGGTTATGGCCTTTAAGTCTCATAATCCTTAAACTGATGGAGAACAGTACAGAAGCTCAAACTGGTGCCTGTATAACTTTTTTTCAACTCATTTCAAGGTTATTTTCTATTTTGTTTTACTTGTGATGATTTTCCATTGACATTGACATTGGGTTTTCATGTTAAGCTTAAATGGTTAACAAACATTTTCACTGAACTCAACCAGCTTCACAGCAATTCCCAAGGATGAAGAAAGGCTAGTATTATTTCAAATTATCATTTTACTTCAATTTGTATATCATTTTATGATTCTTATAATTTATATTTTTCTAATAACTGTTTTATTTTTTGAATTCCAGCTCCCAACACAGGCTAACCATCCATAAAGCCCTTCTCTCTCTCTCAAATTCTTTTCTGTGTTGTGCTCCTATAAATGAAATGAATAAAAGCCAGCTCAGGAAATGTTGTTTTCAGTGTTGCTAAACATTTGGATTTATTGAGCCTGGCTTTCATTCATTTCATTCATTATAGGAGCACAACACAGAAGAAATTTGAGAGAGAGAAGGGCTTTATGGATGGTAAGCCTGTGGTCCCAAGGATGAAAAAGGCAAGTAGATTTTTATTATCAATCTTTAAACTATATCATCAATTGTGCTTGTTTTTCTTTTGTTATCAAAAACACTAACACTTGGTTCGTTTTTTTTTCTCCACATCTTGATTTTCCTGACTGGGAGGTGATGTTTTCCAGTGTGAAAAGTCTTGGTGATGACTTGGCCTTCCTGAAAACACTATATACACTGGTTTGCACAGTAGCTAAAGGTGGAATATTTGTAGATCAGAGTGTTTCCTGTAGTACTTTCAAGAAAAATAAATGTTTTTTGCCTTTTTGATTACATGCTTTTTTAGTCTTTTGGGGGCAATTAAATTTTCTAAAAATGCATGAAATGGCCTTTAGAGAGCTCCAAATTTCAAATTTTCTCGGGGGGGGCATGCCTCCGAACCCCCCTAGCAGGAGTGGGTCCTCAGGTGGAAACTACTCACTCAAAATCCTGGATCCACCCCTGCCAATTCTCCTCATTCTACGCTGTTCGATAATCAAATAGATCAACATCAAGCCACAAAGCTGGAAAGCTGCTGCCAAGGACAACAGAGAAAGGAAAATAGCATTTGCCGCCAAAATTTGTCTTCTGTCCGCCATCTTTGTTTGGAGTGTGTATGCGTGTGTTGCGTGCTAGGTAACCATGCAATGAGTTCAAACGCACCCTACCCCAGGTCCCCGGGGTCATCAAATGCATATGAAACAAACATTTTATCGACCCAGCTACCTGAGGTACCCCAGGCACCCGGGGTACCCCACTCTCATGTGAACAGGCCCTAAGTTTTAAAGTGTTTTCTGAGCTCATATGATAGATTCATAGGTAAGAATATTTTCACTTCATATGTAGGCCATTGTTAGTGCATCGTATGACCCTCGTTTCCTTTCGACTGTTTTGTAAAAATTTGGGCAACTTGTGAGAATTTTTTGGGCAAATGGTTCACCGCCCCCCCTGGCAAAAAAATGCCCGTACACCTATGTTAATGAGGCTCGAATTCACTTGTCTTCCTTAACCAAGGGTGATGGTGAACAAACTAGCGGTCTTTTCTCCTGTTCCGAGCCTGGGCGTCACATACACCGAATGCAAATATGGCGGACCACTTGGGAGGACTGGGTCTAGTTGCGCGAAAGCGAGGCTAGTGAGGCCTCGAGTTTGTTTTGACAACGCGTCCTTCGAATCCATCGAGTAAGTGTTTTGTAGTCGTTCTGTTCTACGCTTTTCGATATGGTTACGAGTTGTTGTGTCCCTGAATGCAATCAGAAAGGAAAGAAGACGCCCACAGGAGAGAAAGTTTCTTTCTTTGAATTCGCACGCACTCCTACGAGGAGAAAACAGTGGATTCACACAATTTGCCGTGAAGAAGGAAAGGATTTTAAGATCGTCGATGGAACAAAAGTTTGTTCCCTTCATTTTAGGCGAGAAGATTTAAGAAAATCATTCAATGGACGGGCTTATGTGGTTCCCGGTGGCGTTCCAACCAGATTTTCGTGGTCAGTTCCATCTCCAAGGAAAAGAAAGGCTCCTCCAGAAAGACATCCTCTGCCTCAGAAGAAATTATTTGCAACAACGTCTGCTTCCTCTGATCACACCGAGTTATATGTAGTGAGCGAAACAGATATCACGGCGGAATCTCTTTCCAAGTCGACGGCAACTGCCTCTAACCGAAATACTGAGCCAAACGATACTTGTTCGGAGTTAAATGCACCAAAAAAGATCGAGGAACTGGAAGAGGAGGTGTTAAAACTTCGACAGGAAAACACTGAGCTAAAAAAGAAATTGGACGAGGTAGAGAAACAGAACGAGGCTATCTCGGCCCGACTATTTTCTCTGGAACGCTTTACATCAGACGCTGACATCAACTTTTATACTGGCCTTCCAAATTATACTACTTTCCTCGCCTTATTTAACTTTTTGAACCCGGGTGAAAATGGAGAAAACATTCATCCAAGAAGCACCTTAAAAGATGTGCCAGAGGATTTTTATGATGTGGACTCTGATGATGAAGAAAACATTTCACCTGCAAAGAAAGGACGCCCACGAAAACTCAAACCAGTTGAAGAATTTTTTATTGTCTTATGCCGCCTGAGAAGAGGCTTTTCAGAGCGCCATTTAGCTCACTTGTATGGTGTTGCCCAGTCCACCATAAGCAGGCTTTTTGTGCCATGGATTAATTTCATGTATCTGAAATTTGGCCAGGTTTGCATCTGGCCTCCTAAGTCAGTTGTTCAGGCAACTATGCCTGCAGATTTCAAAGAAAAATTTCTCTCAACACGAGTCATTATTGACTGCACAGAGGTCTTTTGTGAAATGCCAAGCAGTTTGCTTTTGAACTCTGAACTTTTCAGCTCGTACAAAAACCATGTGACATTGAAAGGACTTGTTGGTATTGCACCAAGTGGAGCTATTACATTTTGCAGTCAACTTTATACCGGCAGCATCTCTGACCGCGAAATTGTTTTACGGAGTGGATTTTTGTCCCAATCCTTTGAAGATGGTGACTCTGTTATGGCAGACAAGGGATTTCAGATACAAGACATCCTGCCCCTTGGTGTGGAACTGAATATCCCACCCTTTTTAGGCAGTGATGCTCAAATGTCTGCCGAAGATGTTGTTAGGACACAGCAGATTGCAAGTCTTCGGATACACGTCGAAAGAGCCATCAACAAGATAAAGAACTTCCGAATTTGGAATGGAGTTGTTCCTCTGAGTTTATTTAGTGTCGTTAACCAAATGTGGACTGTTTGTGCTTTCCTGTGCAACGCTCAGGATCCACTCATATCTAATATCACATGATCTGCTTATGTTTATTGTTTTACTAAGCCAATGTTGTTGTTTTCATTTATCTTTAGTTAAAATATTTTTCAAACCAGTTTTGTTTTTGTCACTTTTTGTGTTTAAAACATGATATTTAGAAACATACAAAATCATAAATCAAACTGGTTTGAAAAATGCAAAACCAAAAATAAATATGAACCACAACAGTAAAATTGACTTGACGGCAGGGCTAGTTATAACACTTAAATGTCCTGCTAACCTAAAAGTTTAGCATTTGCACAATGTCTGAACAATAACAAAACACTATAGACCCATGATGTTACATGAAACACATAAATATAAACCTAAGGTGGGAATGGGGGGGTGCTCCATTAGGGCTTATGGTGGACATGCAGCCAGCCTGTGTATGGCTTTTAGGGATTGTTTTGGGTTAAATTTCTTAAGCAGGGAACCAAAATCAGCATTCTGTCTGAAAGTCTGCAGGGTGGGAAAGTTTCTCTTCTTAAACATGGTCAGATTTCGAGTGTCTGAGCCACACCTCTCAACCCAATGATACATGGAGTACCCCCCCCCAGAATCCAGAGCCTCATGAACCTAATGATTGTATAACAGTAGTTAATTGTTTTGATGTTTAAATGTCCCAAATAGGGGCTCACCATGTAGTAAACATGCATATTATAATAACAGTGACTTTGCCTTATGCTCTTGGTTCTCTAGCTGCTATAGCTAGGAAGTGTTTAAAATAATGCAGTTTCAATGTGTCCTTTAAATTGTTCCAAAATTGCACGTCAAATGGAATTCGCTCGATGCTCATTCCCTTACTGGTGTAGACGATGAAATCGCACCACTTTGCCCCGGTCACACCCATCAGCCCTTGCACTTGGACATAGTATTTATGGGTGCGTTTAAGTTTAGGCTTTCCATCGACTTCTTCCATGAAAAAGCTGCTATCAGAGCATGCATCCAGTGGGGTGACTAAGTACTTGGTTTCTGGGCACTTGACCTCAGAAAGACCAAATTGATCAGAGCATCCAGGATCAATAACCTTGCCATCTGGTGATGCACCCAAGTATGGGGCATCCATACTTATTACAAGTCCTGACTTAAAAACCTTCACTGACTTGTTAATAGAGGACATATATTTTTGGTATTGTTCTAAGGCAATTGGCTCATATTTAAGTCCATGATTAGTATATCTTGATGAAAAAGGCTGGATTTATAAGATTTTGTACTAAAGATTCATGGTTTCTTTTTCTGTCCCGTATAAGACCAAAATTGGAGGCAGTAAATCGGAATTTCCTTTCCAACTTCCATTCAGGGCACTCTGATTGGTTGCGTGTTTTAATTTCAATGCCATTCAGTTTATCTTCATCAACTTGCAGATCCCTTAACAGTGATTTTTCTGCTTCTGAAAGATCAGCAGGTATCTCAAACTGTTCATTAGACTGACTTGATAGGGGAAATCTTGGATATGTCACAATATGCTCACCATGGTTGGCAGGGTTTGCCCTTCGGATAGACGTGATGTCACAAAACACTTTGAAATTATCTTCGGTCACTCCAAGTTGATAGCTAGCATACGAGCCTTGTGGACTTCTGCCAAATTTGGTTTCTACTAAGGGAATAGAATCAGCCTTTGGGGTCATAATCTGTGCTAGGGCCATATTTGGGTTCAATTCTTTCAAGGTTGCCAATAGTTTCTCTTCATCTGCCTTTTGCCCCCGTATATTATTCCTTGCCTCATATAGTGTACATCTGACACCAGGTTCTCGAGCTGATGATCTGGGCTGCTCCAGGTAGGTCTTTGCTACAAGCACCTCCATTGCTGGTTGTGGATTTATAGAGTCTCCTCTTCCCTTCCTATGCCACCTCTGTAAAGAGGAAGTACATGCTTGCTTTGGCTGCATGTCTTCTTCGTTTTCAAGTTCATGGACAGTTTTACATTCATATAATGAGAATTTGCAAATCTTCATCAAGAGTGCTAATATATGGTTACAAAAACCAACCTTCCCAGCAACGCAGGAACATGTAGCATGTTTCACTTCCCCACTTAAAATGCACAATGCGACTTTCAAGTTGTGTGGGGCATCATTCTTCCGAAAACTGTGATAGCAGTGAGACCGGAAATAAAAGTAGTTGTCATCGCTTGCTGAGTTGCGGCAATTCCGGAGTTGTCATCTTTGTTTTTATCCAAGTGTAAATGCTAGGTGTCCTGTGCACTAGGCCCAGTCTGCGCCGAGGTGTTGTCATTCGACACTAGGTCAAACCTCGGCATATACGTGCTTTTATCGCTTGTTATTTTCGCCTTTATTTCTCGGATAAGGATCGTTTAACTAGTCTCGCATCGAAGGAATAGAACATTACGGAAGCATTACGGATATTTCAGCAGTTTTCAAGGTTACGGATAGAGACAATTGCTTGTTTGTAAGGATTTCTTGTACGGTATTGTATTCGAACGGTGTGCTGAGCGTAGTTGATCGGATCAAATAAAACGTGGAATTGACATCGAATTGACGGCTGTTACAGTTTGACCTACAAACGAATCACATGGAAGGAGACAAAGAAGAAGATTTACAAGGGAAAACGGAGCTCCCTGATGAAGAGAAGCTTTGCACTTGGCGCGAAGTCGATATGGATCTCGATACAATCTGCTCGTCACCTCGTGCAATATCGCCGCTGACCGGTTTATTGGCTCAAGAAACTCACATGGATGTGCGAAAACGGATTCCTACAGAAAGGGGTAGGCAATTTGAGATTCAAAAGTTGAAGGAAAAACGGAAAACTGCACTTGCTAATTTAACTAAGCAGATTAACTTAGTCTCACCTTTGTTAACGGATTTTGAGAACGAAAAACAAGTGCGTACGGAAGTTGTTCATTTAGATCAGCTATTTGTTAAAGTGCAAGAAGCACATGGCGCCTATCTCAAGGCCTTAGATGATGATGATGAAATTAAATTAGCTCTTGAATGGTTTGGCTTTTCGCGATAAGGATGTGCTCCAGCTAAAGCAAAGGATTATTGGCTTTTTGGATGATGCAGATAAGCTACGTGGTGGTTTACGTGATACACACTCAGTGAAATCTAAGTCATCTCGTCGCTCAAGGCACTCCCTTTCCTCGGCAACATCTGCTAGGTTAAAGTTAATTGAAGCGAAAGCTAAAGCCGCAGCGTTAGAGGTTAAGGCATCGTTTCTAAAGGAGAAACAAGCATTAAAAATGGCTACTGAAGAGCTTGAACTTAGGCAGCAAATTGCAGAGGCAAAGGCAGAAGAAAAAACTTATGAGAAATTCGAGAAGGAACAAAATATTGACGGAATGAATGAAAACTTGGAAGATGTTGAGGTTAAACTCACTTCTACTACCATCTCACCCGGGGTACAATCTAACGATCAGGCTACACTAAGGGTGCCTTCTGTGAAATTCCAAAGTTCAGCTATTGTTGGTTCAACGACCACTCCTGTAACCACCCTAGCTTTAGCCAGTGCTGCTTGTATGAACCCAACTGCCCGACCCTTTGTTCCAAAGAGTGTTCCCATTAAGGAAGAAGAGTATAAGGACAAGTACGAAACCCTCACTGACTATAAGCCACCACATGTTAAAAGGGAATGTACGTGCAGTTTCGGAAAGGATTCAAGCTCTGTGGACGGTACAGGGTTAGATCAAAACTATCTTGACATTCAAAGGAAGCAGGCTGAACTTTCAGAAATGATTGTTACCCAACAGGCTAGGAGTCTCCTACCTAGTCACAAGCCACCTACGTTTTCGGGAGATGTTATGTCATACCCAGCATTCATAACAGCCTTTGAAACTCTCATAGAATCTAAGGTAGATGATTCTAATGAGCGCTTGTACTACTTGGATCAATACACTAGTGGAAAGGCCAAGGAACTGATAAAGGGTTGTTTACAAACGAAAGGCGAAGATTCGTACAAGGAGGCTAGACGGCTTTTGAAGAAACATTTTGGTGACCCATACAAGATTGCAAGTGCATACATCGCCAAGCTGTCGAGCTGGCCCGCTGTTAAGCCTAACGACGGAACAGGGTTACAAGAATTTTCTATTGTCCTTGAGCAAGCAAGGAACGCCATGACAGGCATGCAATACATGAACGACTTGAACACGGCCAATGTTATGCGCCAGTTATGGGAAAGGCTGCCGCAATATCTACGTAGTAAGTGGACTGAAAGAGTTAGCAGGATTAGGAGTGTCAAGGGACAGACAGCTAGCTTTAATGACTTTTGCCAATTTGTATCAGAGCAAGCCGATTTAGCGACAGACCCAATCTATTCCCAGGAAGGCATAAGTAAACCGATGAACGCAGTTGACAAGTACCACAAACAGAACGAACGCAAACCCAAGAGAGGAAGGGGTACCAACTTTGCAACAGGCCTGGCAGGAAAGAATGCAGGTGGAGGAAATTCTCACCCCATCAGCTGTACATTGTGCTCTAAGGCGCATCATCTGGACGAATGTGCTGAGTTTCTTAAAAAAACCGCTAGTGGAGCGGAGAAACTTTATCAAACAGAAAGGCTTATGCTTCGGTTGCTATAGTTGTGAACACATTGCTAAGCTTTGCAAAAGTAAAAGAACCTGTCAGATCTGCAATAAGAAACACCCAACGTCACTCCATGATTACAGTTGGAAATCAGAAGAGGCGAAAATGGAAAGTGGAAACGGCCAACATGAGAAATCGGAAGCCAGTAAAAGGAAAACGGAAGAGCGAGTCGTTAACGTGTGTACTGCAATTTGCAATGTGACAGATGCCGGTGGACGTACCAGTTGCTATGGGTATTATCCCAGTATGGTTGTACCACAAGGACAATCCAAACAATAAGATATGTGTTTACGCCCTCCTTGATAATGCCAGTGGTGGAACATTCATTAAGGAAGACTCGTTAAGAAGGCTTGGTGTTAAAGGAAGTGAAACCAAACTTTTGCTCACTACTATGCATGGTACCCAAGAAGTCGATACTAAAGCGGTAGATGGGCTAATGGCTTCCCACTTTCAAGAAAACGACGTTATCGTACCCCTACTGAGAACCTACATCAGACAACGGATTCCAGCAGATCGTGATGAGATTCCTCGTCCCAAAGAGCTGCAAGGATGGTCACATTTGCAGATGGTTAGGAAACACATACCTCCTTACATGGAAGACGTAGAAATAGGACTCCTGATCGGACTAAATTGCCCTAGTGCAGTGCGACCAAGAGACATTGTTTGTGGAATGAGAATGAACCCTATGCAGTAAGATCACTACTAGGATGGCACGTAAACGGTCCTGTTAACCAAAAGAGCAGTAAACAAGTACATTGTAAACCGTATTCAGATTCTTAAGAGCAACACAGAGGATAACGTGAATGGGTACATCATTGCTAAGACAGAGATTAAGGAGCGGCTAACCCCTCAAGTGGTTTCCCGAATGTTTGAGGTGGACTTTGCTAAAAGGGAGCACGGAGTCGCATTATCAAGAGAAGACCGTCAGTTCCTGAAGATTGTAGAAGATGGAATCCATCATAGAGATGACATGCATTACGAGATGCCTCTGCCCTTTAGAGAAAAGAATGTACAGCTACCCAATAACCGTCCTCAAGCAGAGCAACGCCTGCACGGCCTTAAGAAGAGACTCCAAGGCGATGCAAGGTATCGTGCTGACTATGTCAGATTCATGACTGAAATCATAGAGAAGGGATATGCTCGAAAGGTCAAGGTTGAAGAGCTACCCCATCAAGAAGAAAAGGCCTGGTACTTACCTCACCACAGGGTTTACCACCCCAAAAAACCAGGCAGCATACGCGTAGTATTTGACTGTTCAGCTCGTTACCAGGGTGAATCGCTGAATGGCCACCTATTGCAAGGGCCCGATCTAACAAACAAGCTCACTGGGGTGCTCACAAGATTCAGAGAGGAGAAGGTAGCCTTCATGGCTGACATAGAGAAAATGTTTTTTCAAGTCAAGGTTCCAAGGAAGATCAGAACTTCCTTCGCTTCTTATGGTGGCCAAATGGAGATTTAACTCAAGAGCCTCAAGAGTACTGCATGACAGTGCACCTCTTTGGAGCTGGTTCATCTCCAGGGTGTTCTAACTTCGCCTTTGAAACGTACAGCCGAAGACGGTGAAAGAGAGTTTGGTGCAAAGGCTGCGAAACATTAAGGAAGAACTTTTACGTCGATGATGCTCTGAGTTCGGTACCGACAGAGAAGGACGCTGTAGAACTAGTACAAGCTGTTAAAGAGATGTGTGCAAAGGAGGGTTCAAACTAACGAAATTTGTCAGCAACAGTAGAAAGGTGATGATGTCAGTACCTGCTGAAGACAGAGCTAAGGAGATCAAGGGCCTAGACCTAGGTAGTGACAAGTTACCAATAGAGAGAGCTTTGGGTGTAGAATGGTGCATTGAATCGGACGCATTCAAATTCAGAATAGAGTTGAAGGACAAGCCGTGCACCCGTAGGGGTATACTGGCAACTATAAGCTCGATCTTTGATCCTCTAGGGCTGATTGCACCCGTCGTCCTTGTTGGAAAGCAGATACTTCAAGAGATCTGTCACGGAAAAGACTGGGGCGAGTCAATCGAGGGAGAAGTTCTTGCCAAATGGGGAAGATGGAGAAGTCAGTTACCGCTATTAGAGCAGCTGAACATCCCAAGAAACTTTCAGCCTCCTGATTTTGGAAGCATTGCCACTGCTCAGCTACATAATATGTCAGATGCGTCTCAAGTCAGGTACGGACAATGTTCTTATCTCAGACTGGTTGATGAAAACGGAAGAATTCATTGTTCTCTTGTTATGGGGAAAGCTCGTGTTGCACCGTTGAAGACAGTCACTATTCCAAGACTTGAACTAACTGCCGCTACCGTTTCAGTAAGGGTTGCAAGCATGCTAAAGGAAGAGTTAGACTATGGCGGACTCCAAGACTTCTACTGGACCGATAGTAAGGTTGTCCTCGGGTTCATCAACAATGAATCTCGAAGATTCCAAGTGTATGTTGCAAATAGAGTGCAATTCATCCGTGACCACACTTCACCAGACCAGTGGCGCTACGTGGAGTCTGGATCCAACCCAGCAGATGAAGCATCGAGGGGGATGAACGCTAAGGAGTTTATGCAAAGGTCACAGTGGATTAAGGGCCCAGACTTCTTGTGGCAGACGGAAGATCACTGGCCTCAACAAGACTCATACGAAAAAGAGGTTGACCACAATTCTCCTGACGTTAAAGGGGTTACCGCTAACGCGACAGTGATTGAAGAACATGAAAACATGTTAAGCAGATTCAAAGGATTCTCCAAGTGGCAAGTCCTAAAGGGCGCAGTTGCGCTTTGTATGGAATACAAATGACGTCTCAAGATGAGAGCCAGTAAAACAGACAAGAGACCTGTAACTGTTCACGGTCCTCAAGTTAATGGACGAAGCCGTGAATGTGAAGGTTGCCTGGCTACTTCCTTTATGGTCAGAGACCTTGAACAAGCAGAAACAGAAATTCTCAAGCTGGTGCAAGCGAATTACTTCGATAAAGAAATCAAGATTCTGAGAGATTTCCAAACCCAGACCGGAAGTGTGCCTAAAGATCGTCATCATGATAAGGAAAGGAAAGCAGTTTTGAAGAAAAGTAGCAGCCTTAACGCCCTCGACCCATACCTGGATGCCAGCGGAATGTTGAGAGTCGGAGGACAGATAAGGAAGGCTAACCTCTCAGACAGTCTTAAGAACCCTGTCATCTTACCGAAGGCTGGTCATATTACAGAGCTGGTCCTCCGTCACGCCCATGAGAAAACTCACCACAGCGGAAGAGGTCTCACCTTTAAACGAACTTCGTTCAGTGGTTACTGGATTATCAATGGAAATGCTGCGGTCAGACATTTCATATCAAAGTCGTCACATGTCGACATCTCCGTGGTACCTTTGGAGAACAGAAAATGGCCAACCTCCCAAGTTCCCGTGTTGAACCAGCGCCACAGTTTTCATACTGTGCAGTGGACTACTTTGGTCCGTGGTATGTCAAAGAAGGCAGGAAAGAAGTTAAAAGGTGCGGAGCCCTATTTACTTGCTTGGCCAGTCGTGCGGTACATATCGAAGTAGCCCACTCCATGGAAACAGATTCATTCTTACAAGCATTACGGGCGCTTTACCTGTCGTAGAGGACCCATAAGAGAACTTCGCGGTGACCAAGGGACTAATTTTGTTGGGGCGAAAACGAGTCAAAGGCAGCACTTCAAGAAATGGATGATGAGAAAATCAAGGCAGAGTTGCTTAAGGAGAACATTGATTGGATCAGAAATCCTGCTACTGCAAGTAATTTCGAGGCGTTTGGGAGCGACAAATTCGGTCCGTCGCGGAACATCATGGCAGCACTTATGAAACAACATGGTCACAGCTTAAACGACGAATCGTTGCGAACTTTGTTATGTGAAGCTGAAGCTGTTGTCAACAGTCGTCCCTCTGACTACCGAGACCTTAAGTGATCCGCTCTCACCGTTGCCACTATCGCCAAGTACCCTTCTCACTGGTAAAACCAAGCTCATTCTCCCCCCTCCAGGAAAGTTTCAACGAGAAGATACTTACTGCAAACGTCGCTGGAGGCGCGTACAGCATATTGCTAACGAATTCTGGAATAGATGGAGTAAAGAATATCTTCAGATCTTACAGTTGAGACAAAAGTGGACACACAAGAGAAGAAACTTCACGGAAGGCGACATTGTTCTATTAAAGGACAACAATTCTTGTAGGAATAAGTGGCTTATGGCTAAAGTGCTTACCACACGTCGTGATGATGAAGACCAAGTCAGATCGGTGACTGTTCAAACCGGAACTGGATCAGTATTGGATCGACCAGTCAATAAACTTGTGCTGTTGCTAGAGTCACCTAAGGATAGACCGGGAATCCCCGACGAGGAGCCTGAGGAACTGTAATGGTACAGAAACAGGATATCTAGAACGCTTAGCAATTCTAGTATTCTAAACGAGTTAGAGTAAGATTTGTTTGGTTAAAATGACGAGCATTTTAGGGGAGCCATGTAAATGCTAGGTGTCCTGTGCACTAGGCCCAGTCTGCGCCGAGGTGTTGTCATTCGACACTAGGTCAAACCTCGGCATATACATGCTTTTATTCCTTGTTATTTTCGCCTTTATTTCTCGGATAAGGATCGTTTAACTAGTCTCGCATCGAAGGAATAGAACATTACGGAAGCATTACGGATATTTCAGCAGTTTTCAAGGTTACGGATAGAGACAATTGCTTGTTTGTAAGGATTTCTTGTACGGTATTGTATTCGAACGGTGTGCTGAGCATAGTTGATCGGATCGAATAAAACGTGGAATTGACATCGAATTGACGGCTGTTACACCAAGCGTTCCTTGCGCTTTGTATATATGGAGTCAGGATCCGGATCTACTATATTTTGATCACGACCTTCTTTGATATATTCCTCAACCCTAAACAGAAGGGAAGATAAGATCGTTTTTAAACTTTGGTTACCGCAATTGCAATCAAGGCAAGCGAGGCGCGAAATCTCCGCGAATCGGTCGAAGTACGAGCATCCTACCTTTTCACTAATTGTGCTTTTGTTTTCAGTCCTTTCAATGTATCGCCCCTACATTTCAGCCAGAAACGAAGTTCTTCATTTTTTAGCGTGGCAGGCGATCTACCTCGAAGAGAAGCTCCAGGAATATCGTCTTCTGTGAGCGCACGTGAAGCAGCCATTCGTGACGATCAAAACACAGGGAAAAGCCGGCCTCACTGGCTGGCCTCACTAGCCTCGCTTCCACGCAACTAGCCCCGGGCCGCCCGAGAGGTCCGCCATATTTGCATTCGGTGTATGGTCTTTAAGAAATTTAGTGAGCTTGAGAATCATCTTGATGTTGGCGAACACCGCCGAGTGCGTGGAGGAGGCTCTGAAACGGTATATGACAAAGTCAGAAGAGACTATGCAGAAAAATTTCTTACTGTAGACTGCAATGAGGAAAGCAACAGAACATTAGTAGCACATAGAGATGACCAACTGAAGAAATTTGAAGTTCTTGGTGCTTGCAGCGACTTACAGCTTGGCTGGGCTCTACACAAGCCGCGAAGTCAAGCGGTGCGGTCTCCTTTTGAGGTTAAACAGTACCTTACAACGAAATTTGACCTTGGAGAGAGAACTGGAAACAAGGTGCATCCAGGAAAAGTGGCGGCAGACATGAGAACAGCAAGAAACATGGATGGTTAGCGGATTTTTAAAAGAGAACATTGGCTAACGAAAAGTCAAATACAGGGGTTCTTTTCAAGACTGGCGGCCACTCGAAGAAGGCAAGGAAATGAAGAGATTCAGATTGAGGATGTGCTCGTTGAGGAGGAAGAGCAGGAAAGACAAGAAGTGCTGGAGAGTGTAGCCGCTCAGCTAAGTCCTAGGCATCCAATCTGTTACGATTCTTACTGCCTGTGTGACCTAGCAAGAGAAGACAGACTTGACGGTTTCAGTGTAGTTATGCTGAAGGAGATACTAAAATATTTTGAGGTCCCCTTTGCTTCACGAGATCGGAAGAAAAATCTGGTGTCAAATCTGTTCAAATTCTTAGAAGGATGTGACTGCTGCCAATAAAAAAGGGTGAGTAAGTCATCCATTTCTGTGTTAGGGTGTTCTAAAAGCGTGTTTAAGGAAAAATATCACTCATTTTATTGAGCGGTTTAGGAAATCAACCTTGTTTTCAGTACGACCAATGACTTTAGTTCCCTTCTTAAACGTCATCCACGTAAATGAAAATACGCATTTTTCCTGTCAAATTTGATATCAACCAAATTTGATATCAACTATTAATTGAGGCATCGCTATAGTATAAACCTATTCTTAATTTTCTTAAATTAGATTCAGCGAAGTAAACCATACTAAGCTAGCGAGAAAATTATCAGTTTTCTGCAAAGGGGGAGAAAAACAATAGAGAGAGTGACATTCTGGTAGTTACTGTTTCGCTCATTCAACTCAACAAATAAATGTTAAAGAGGGGAGGTCAAGCGGTATATAACATTCCACACGGAATACACTGAAACGGCCCTCTAATAGACCTTGAAGATATTCAATCTTGGGGCAAAATTTGATAGCTCTATATTAATTTGTGCATTTAAAGAACAAAGCTAGTTTTAAGAGTATTAATTTACTTCACTCGGATAAATATTATTTTTCATTGCGGTAAACTTATGCAAATGTGTGTCACGCACATCTCCTAACGTTAAATATCGGCAATATTGATCGAAAACCTGCAGTTCGAAACACTTACTGCTTAAAGCACGGTTTATCCATGCCTTATTTCGAGAATAGATGTGGTTTCAAGAATATTTGCGCCCACAGATAGTTATTTTGTGCGGCAAAGTTAGAAACCATAATTATGCAAATTAGTGTCACGCACTCTCTGACCCTTGAATTACGGCAATTTTGATCGAACTCCCATAGCTCGAAAACCTTAGTGCCCAAAACTTTTTTTGTTGTTTCTTGTACACTAGCCCTAGTACTCAACATGCATAGTAGTCAGGGCTCCAGTCACGTTATACTTTTGAGAAATTTTCCGAGGGCCCTTTGGGAGGTATTTTCAAAAATTCACTATTATTTTTCCTAAACACCGATCTCAAATATTTTACTATGAATTTAAAGGCAAGATATGAAATAAACGTATGCAAAAGTTTCATTTTATTTGAGTAAAAGAGTAATTTTTTAGCGCATTTACCACAACGTGTAATTTTGACTCAAAACAGGGCGAATTTTTCGGTTTAAGGTCGCCTTTGGAAATCCTCGCCAAATATATTATTAAAAAGCACTACAAACCAAACTATTGCTATTTTTGTTCATCATATAGACTAACTGTCTTGGAAAAAAAATTTGAAGGAATTCCGTGTCGCGCCGAAAATTCAATGGTCGGTTCTTACGCAGACATCCTCTTAAATACCTCAGTATACATATATCTTCGGATTTCACATGGACTGATCATATTGAACACCTAACTGGGAAAATCAATCAGAGGCTTGGGCTTCTCAAGTGTATAAAGCATTTATTGCCTTTCAGGGCGCGTCTACTTTTCTATAAAAGTCTTGTTATGCCCCTTTTTGAATATGCTGATCTTGTATGGGGTGATAAACATAATATTACCATTATGTCTAGCTTGCAAGTTTTGCAAAATAAGGCCACTAAAGTTATTTTAAATAGACCATTGTACTCATCCTCCACTGAGGCATGGTTAATTTCATGGTACATTTTGATGTTTTAAACTTGCATTTCAGTCTTTTGACCCACAAAGAGCTTGAAACTCTGACTTCTGTACTGGAGCCAAATTCAAATTTCGTTACAAACATGAAGTTTGATGCGACCTATCTTAACCAAGCTCTGACGGTTGTTGGCAAGAGACCACAGCCAATGAAATCAAGCGATTGTTTTATCTTCATTAGCAGGATCTTTCACGTGAAACATGGCCATCAGGGCTTTGAATCTGGTTTTGGACATGACTGCTCTTGCCCAAAGATCTTTGACAAAATTTGGCTATTGATGAACTAATGGTTAAGTCTCGCCATAGGTCTGGTATACATCAGTATATCAAAGACAAGCCCAACAGATGGGGTATCAAATTGTGGGTATTGGTTGACAGTCAAATGGTTACACTGTGAACTTCAATCTCTACATTGGTAAAGCCACAGGACAGGAAATTAGTGAATTTGGGTTGGGTTTTGATGTAAGCGCAAGACCTAGAAGGCCTTTTCTACATCAGGGTTACTAATTATTTGTTGATCACTTTTGTACATCAATCCCATTCCTCAAAGATCTGTTTGTTCAGGGAGTCCTTGCCACTGGTACAATCCTTGAAAAAAGGAGAGGCTTTCCAGCTGCGTTTAAAAAGAGTGGGGTGTGGGCTCATAAGAAAGAAAAGGGTACTATGCATTGGGAAAGGCACTCTCCCTCTTTGGTACTTCAGTGGTTGGATAATAAATTAGTTTTAATGTTATCAATTATACATAAAGCTAATGATCATGGTGTTGTCAACAGGAAAAGAAAGGAGCATGGTGTGTGGAACATAAGTAAAGTACTACAACCTAAAGTTATAGCCAATTATAATAAGTTAATGAATGGGGTTGATCGATCTGATCAAATTCTAGACACAAATAGTGTACTATGTAAGTCCATGAAGTGGTGGAAAAATTTTTTTTACCACCTAACTGAAATGGCTGTTGTCAATGGCTTTATCCTTTTCAAAGAACATCAGGCTCAGTTTCCTGACAATAATGCTCTAAAGAGGTCCTCTAATTATTCTTTGGGTGATTTCCAGGAAGAAATTGTTAGGCAACTCTGTGGTTTCTCTGATTACGGTAGTCCACCAGAGAATACCATGGTGAAATCACTCTCTTCCACCCGAAGGGAGTTTCCAACTGTCCATATCCCAGTTTTCTCTCATACTCAGAGATGCTGTGTGGTATGTTATAAAGAGGGTAGGGGAGATTTTAGGGTTCAATCGTATTGCAATGCCCCTCAATGTCAGAAGCATATCCATGCTTCATTCAAAGAAGTGCCATGGGTAAATTTTTGGTGTACCATATTTCCCATACATAGAACATTTTGCTAATGTTTATTACAATGTTTTCAGATTTTGTTTCTCAAAAATACCAACAACCACAAAAAATTAAAAATTAAAAAATATCCCCCAAAAAATTATCTTTTTATACCTTGTTGCTTTTATCTTTATTTACTCCTAATTTTCTTAGAGAGGACTCTCATTAGTTAGTAAGGATGTTAAAAGGCAAATTCATTCACTTAACTACACATGTAGTAACACATCAGGGCCCACCCATCCTCCTATTATAGAGTGGAATTTCCCAACAAATTTTTTTCTGATAATTTTTTTGAATGACATGGGCTCATAAAAATTCATAAAAAAATCATTATTTATTCTTTTTCTTTCAGATTTTCAGGAAATGTTGCTGACATGTTAATAATCTTCTTTTATCAATTAAACTCAAGTAACCTTTACTTATGAGGAAAAGTGACTTTGACCACAAGTTTTACTGTCTTACTTATTTTCCTTTTTAAATTTTACTTATCAAGAAAGTCCTGGGTTTCAATGACAAAATTTACTTTTTTTTCTCAGAAGTCCATGCTATAAACTTCAAAATAAGATATTGTAGGTGTTATTGCTCTAAATATTTGTGGAGATATGAATTAAAAACAAAATGTGGACAATTTTTGAATTGTCAAGAAGTACAAGCAGTAGGTAGCTTACATGTTTTTCATTGACCTGTGCTCCCTCTAGTTCATTTCAATTACTTTATGAATAGCCAAGATAGGCCTTTTGCAGTTAGAGATCACCTGCTCAGATACCACAAAGCAATGCCATACTGAAGAGCAAGCACTCTAGTGATCTTAGACCTAATAGGGGTCACAGCAGTCTGCATTCAAACAAAGAATACAGATGATAACCAGCTTAAGGGTATCCCACTTGTTAACATCCAGTAAGTTTAATCATCAGCTTCCCTGAAGTGTATCAGTAACAAAACCATATCAAAACTGGAGCAAATTTTGTTGCTTTTATTTCTCACCTTGGCAACACAACATAAACAACATGGTGTCTTACCAAGGAATGTGAGAAGAAAAGAGACTTCTAAAATGAACTGAGGCTTTTCATTTTCATAGAAAATAAGACATCAACTTATTATTGAATAAATTTTAGTTCTTGAGCGAAAGACGAATACATAATGCTGCTGTAATCTGCCATTTGTACTCAAACTTCAATGTCTTTCTGTGGTAGATGAATCCACGAATGATCAAGTTCAGGCTCCAGAACAAACACAGCTCTTATCCACATTGAAAAGAAAAAGGAAATCTAGCTACCATTGCTGTGTCCCCCAGTGCAATGGCAACTTCCAATATCATGAAGAACTTGTTTTTCATTGAATAAGAAAACGAAGAAATTCATTAACAATGGGTTATTAAAATTCACAGAGACGAAGGGCCTGATTTCAAGGTAAAGTAGAGTTATCAAAATAACTTTTTCTTTCTCTATACTTCACTGCTGTCTTGTATGATCGCCTAATTTCTTAAATTTCATGTTTTCAATCAATAGATTACAAGTAGCAGGAGGGTGTGTTCAAGACATTTTCTTGAGGTAGACTATCTACCCTCTGACAATGCAGGATGATCCTTAAAAGAGGATCTGTTCCCTCTCACTTTGACTGGTCCTCAAAAAGTCTTATGGAGAAGAAAGGTCATTCACCATTTTAGGAGGTAAAAACAACTTTTATTGATGATTTAACTCATTTCCTTGACTGTGGTTTTAAAAGACAGAATGCATTATTTTTTCAGAGAAACATAGACTAATGAGAATGACATGGAGGGAGATACCAAAGCCAGTGAATCCTTGAAACCACCGATCCAGGATCAATTAGAATCCCTTAAAGTGTAGCTTCTGCAAAAGATGCAAGAGCTGGAAAACAGCAAAAGAGAAACAACTGCTGCATTAGAAGAAGCTAGAGCAGTCAAGATGCTGGCTGAAAAAGATCTTGATGAAGCTAGGAAAGCTGCAGCTTACAACCTTGCTGTATACAAGTTTAGATGGGAAAGGTTTTCCATAGATAATGACTCCATTAAACTTTAAACAGACTTCACATCCTATGAAAACATAAAGTTTTTTGTAATGAATTGGTTCTGCCAACTGCAGAAACAATGACTTCTTGTTATGCTACAGGAGAGAGGCAAAGCCCCTCAGGGGCACAAAATATGCAAGTCATAGATGAATTGTTTATGTTTTTGGTAGGACTTAAATTAGGATTATTTGGGCAAGACCTTGCTCACAGATTGCAAATCCATATATCCCCTGCAAGTAGAAAGATAACAACTTGGTGCAATTATCTTTAGTTTATGTTGGGAAGTCAACCAATATGGCCTTCAAAGGAGGATGTCAATTGTTATATCCCTGAATGTTTCCATACCCTTCATCTAACCACTAGGGTGATCATAGACTGCACAGAAATTCATGTGCAAACCCCTTGCTCACTCTTACTTAAGTCTCAATTATACTCATCTTGCAAAAGCAATCCTACCCTTAAAGGTTTTTTGGGATAACTCCTTACGGAGCAGTTTCCTTTTTTTCTATTTTGTATACTAGTGCTATATCTGACAAAGAAATCACTGGGTTTAGTGGTATTTTGGATTTGCTTGAGGATGGAGACTCAACATGGCAGACAAAGGTTTTGATGTTCAAGATTTGTTGTTAGAAAAAGAAGTACAGCTCAATATCCCTCCTGTGACAAGTTGCGTGACTTGCTATGTGATATCTAACCACACAAGTTTCTGTTATATTGTTGATTCAGCTAATGAAATGCATTTATGTGTGATTGCACAACCGTGTGCTGGAGTTCCTAAAACATTGTAGAATGTCGCTCGACTGCATATAGTTGTTTACAATAAATCTCTGTTTAATACCCAAGTGCTGTTTCTTACATGGTGGCAGCGGCGACAGGATCCACGCTGCATTGAAGCTTACTAGAAAATGGCATCGGGACATAGCTTACCGCCGCCAACACCGCTGGATATTCATGATCAGAACGCCGCGGAGAAATGGAAGAAGTTTAATTTAGCATGGAATAGCTATGCTTTGGCTACTGAGCTTGATAGAAGTCGGAAGGCGTCCAAGTTGCTACTCTCTTGACGATCATAGGAGAAAAGGCTCATGATGTGTATTCCACATTTATGGACTGGGCCAATGAAGGGGACGAAAACAAGATTGCCCCGGTGCTACAGAAGTTTGCCGAGTATTGCCAGCCACGAAAGAATGTACCATTCGAGCGCTATCGATTTAATCGTCGAACACAAGAAGCGGGAGAAAGCTATGACCAGTACAAGACTGCACTTTCTAAGCTTGCAGAGGGCTGTGACTTTGACACGATAACCCTGACGAGATGCTTAGAGATCGCTTAATTTTCGGCATACGCGACTCAAAAGTGAGAGAACAACTGCTGTGAGAGTCGAAACTCAGCCTCGCAAAGACTCATGAGATTTGTTGTGCCACTGAAAGCATGCAAACACAGATGAAAATTGTTGGAGACTGAACCGACTTGGAGGCAAACAAACTGGAGCAGGAATGTCTGCCTAACTTTCGAAAATCCAAGAAAACAACTCGCAGAAGACAACAGCAAGGTCAGGGGCGGCATGGCAGAGAGTGAAAAATGTGGCTATCAACACCAGGAAAGTTCGGAATCCTGTCCCGCAATAGGACAGGAATGCCTGAAATGTGCAGAGCGGAACCACTTCGCATCAAGATGCAAATCAAAGGAAGTTAAGGCGACCGATTTAGAAGATGATGAGGCTGGTGAGATGTACCAGATAGAGGTAGCAGCTGTGAAACTCGATGATTCACAACTAGTGACACTGAAGCTAGAGTCTGGTAACTTCATCCATTTCCAACCCGACACTGGAGCCCAGTGTAACGTGCTGCCGCTACAGGTTTATCGGAAGGCATCCAAAGATGAGTAGCTTGAAAAAGTGAATCGCACTCAGGCATCATTGGTTGCATATGGAGACTCGAAAATTAAAGTCATCAGCCGCGTCAGCATCCGCGTCTGGAGAAATGATTTCGTCCGCGCCAGAAGTGTTTCAAAGGAAGATGCACAAGCTCATTGAAGGTATGACAGGTATTGAGGTAGTTGCTGATGACTTCATTGCAGTTGGATACGGTGAGACATTCGGGGAAGCGACACGAGACCATGACAAAAATCTCCTCGAGTTCCTCAAACGATGCGAAGCAAAGAACGTCCGTCTAAATCCGGAGAAGCTAAAATCACGCCAGTCGCAAGTGCTGTTTATTGGGCACATGGCAACCGACAAGGGACTAGAAGTAGACCCTGCCAAAGTTCCAGCTATCAGTGAGATGCCAGCCCCAACAGACAAGCTTGGTGTGCAACAACTTCTGGGACTGACCCAGTACCTCGCCAAGTTCCTTCCACACCTTTCGGACGTCACCAAGCCATTAAGGGACTTAAGGTGGTAGTTAACCCTTATTTTGAGAAAAAAGTCAACAATTTCTTAAATTCTCCACTGGGGCTTCCTAAAACCCTATTTATTCAACTTTTATAACCCGCTTTCATTTTTTGAAAAATTTGAAAATCCCGCTTGAAACGGCTAATTAATCAGAAAGTGGCCTAATAATTGTCCATAGCAACCGTCTGTTTACACTTTGTTTATTATGGTTGCCATGGGTTTTTTTGACCCTGCGCTGGGTCAAAAGTCTCCGAAATCCGTTTCCACAGTCCTCACAAGCCGAATTCCATAGACTCCAGTGCTGATTTTCATTAGCGTAACCATGATGCAGCGGGAGCCAGTAACTTCTCGTTTCTTCGATTTTTCGAAAGCTTAGAGGAAGGTGAAGTCGGATTATTCTTTCAAACATTTTTGCTTGTTGTACTTTTGTGAGATGGCGAAGCATGGTGAAAGAAAATTCAGATCCGTTAGGAGAAAAAAAGGAAGGGTTTTGCGGCACTACTGGGTCAAAGAAACGTCCAAAACTGACTAAAGAACCAGATCAAGATGGCCTTGCAGGAAGTAAACTCGAAGTTAGTGACAACAGCGACGCCAGTGAAAGTGAAGAATTGCCCATGGAAGTCAATGTTTCCGCCTCAAAGCTTCAGAATTCTTCGTTTTCGATGTATGAAGAGCAGGAAGGCATTCTAACCCGTAAGAAGTCGATAAATGTTGGGCTCGGAGTTCCATCAGTAAATTGTGACAACATTGCAAGTGGTTATAAAATTCAAGATGCCACTTTACTTAGAGATTGTATCGCCTCAGCAGCAATTTGCAGTTTCTGCCGCAAATCTCAATCAACTTTGCAACTTTTTTCAGCGAGATTATCAGAGAGAAGGACTTGCTGAATGTCTTTTTCTTAGATGTTCAAATTGTCATCATGAGACTGAGTTGAAAACAAGTAAGAGACTGGGAGGTGTTGGTGGAGGGGCTCATGAAGTCAACAGGAGGTCGGTATTGGCTTCTCAGAAACTTGGCCAGGCTGGGTTGGCTGACTTTTGTGCTAGAATGAATTTCTGTCCACCAGTGACCAAGAAATCTTACAATGATCATTTGATCCAAATTGAAAAGGCAGCTGTAGAACATGCTAGAACTCAAATGCAGGATGCTGCTGGGAGGCTGTCGGATCTGACAAAAATAAACATCCTAACAGCATTGAAGATGAAAATGGAACCGAAGTGGCTAAAGTAGCTGTTACAGTTGATGGCACATGGCAGAAAAGGGGCCATTCCTCAAAGATTGGTGTGGTGTTTGTCATTTCAGTGGCAACTGGAGAAATTCTGGATTATGAGGTCAAATCTCTTGTTTGCTCTGAGTGTCGAGCTCGTGAGCATATGGACAGAGATTCTGAGGAATACAAAGCTTGGAAAGCCAGCCATACAAATTGCCACATTAACCATTCTACCAGCTCTGAGGACATGGAGGCTTCTGCAGCAGTAGAAATGTTTGGCAGAAGTGTAGAGAAGTTGCATCTCAAGTATACAACTTTTGTCGGAGATGGTGACAGTAGTTCTTTTGGTCGAAAAGAGAAGCCATGACTGCAAAATTTGGAGACAAATATCCTGTAGTCAAAGAGGAGTGTGTGGGCCATGTGCAGAAGAGAATGGGTACAGCTCTCCGAAAGTTTAAAAAGGAAATGAAGGGAAGAAAGCTGGCAGATGGAAAAGGTGTCGCTGGAAAGGGAAGGCTCACTGACAAAGTTATCAACCGCATTCAAAACTATTATGGTAATGCTATAAGAGAGAATTGTGGCAACCTTCAAGGGATGAAAGAAAGCATTAAAGCAATTCAGTGTCATATGATAGTGGATGAGGACATGTCACTCAAAAAGCAGCACAGACACTGTCCAAAGGGTAAAGACACATGGTGTAAGTTCTGGGCTGACATGCATAATAAGACAAACACCTACGACAACAGCAAGCGTCTTCCTGCAGTTTTCATGAAAGAGCTGGACCCAATTTTTAAAAGATTGTCAGATAATGCTCTTTTATCAAGATGTCTTCAAGGTTTCACTCAAAACCAGAATGAAAGTGTCAATTCTCAATTGTGGTCCAGATGTTCCAAAACTACCTTTGTTGGAGTTCGTAAAGTTCAAATTCCTGTTTGTGAAACTGTGGCTGTGTTTAACACTGGGGCAGCCAGCAAAGCAGTCATTATGGATCTCAGTGGGGTTAATCCTGGTCAAAGTATGTTGAAGGCCCTGAGAGATCAAGACAAAAGAAGGATCGTAACTGCTGGACGAAAAGTTTCTGTGAAGTACAGAACACAAAGGAAGATTTTACGGGCAAAGCGAAAGTCAAAAGGGGAAGTGTCATACTCTTCAGGGGCTTTTGGTCTTGATTCAAAGCCTGAGATATCAGTTAAACAAGGAATCAAGAATATTAAGTCCAAGAAACACATTCAGGAGTTACCATCCACTAGTAGAGAGCAAACTGTGGAGATAAAATATGTGGAACCCATTTTTGAAGTTGTGGTCACTCCAAAAGAGTAGGGTTCATGAAGAGGACTGAACTTTTCCACATTTAACCATCTAATCTAGCTGGAGAAAGGCCTTCAAATTAATATTTACTTCCTAGTGCAACACAATTTCAAGAAAATAACTTTCTTGACAGAATGGGGGGATGTTATGGTGAATTTTACTCACAGCACATGTCTTGGACTTTAGAAGCAGTTTTCTTAAAGTTATATGTTTAAGAATTGTCTATCTTGTGGCAGTCATATTTTTGCCAGTTTTCAATGGATTTGCATGATTTTTTCACAGGTTGTGTAGTTTTGGCTGTACTGTGCAATGAGTGAACTAGTTTTAGTCTTTTGTGAAGTTTTATTTTGTTGCTATGGAAACGTGCTTCTTTATGTCAGAGCGACATTGATTTGACGATACTAAAAACTGTTTCACTCATTGCACAATTTGTAACAGTGTTAATGTCTCTAGAAAGTTTCATTGCTTTATGGTATATGTTTGCTGAGATAACTTTGCCATAATCTCAGAAGTTGACTTAAGTTTTCTGGAGTTACCATGGCAACCAATGGGCGTGGTCTCACACTTACCATGTCAATCTTTCAAACTTACTTAAGTCTATATTCTGTTCAAATTTCATGGAGTTTGGTCAAATCCTAGGGAAACAGGCCACTTTTTCATTTAGTTACAAAATAAGGGTTAACTACCACCTTAACGCAGTCTTATGTTCTGTGGGTCTGGAATGAAGCTCAACAAACTGCGTTCGAGAAGCTCAAAGAAATGGTGACACGCACCCCAGTTCTACACTATTACAATCGTAAAGAGGAGGTCACGTTGCAGTGTGATGCATCCCAGTCTGGGCTTGGAGCAGCACTTATGCGGAACGGACAGCCAGTCGCATACGCCTCACGTGCACTGACACCGGCTGAAACACATTATACCCAAATAGAGAAGGAACTGCTCTCTATTGTGTTTGCCTGTGATCGTTTTGATCCATTTGTCTATGGCAGAGACCTGGTAAACGTGAAGACCGACCATAAACCCTTGGAGGCAATCTTCATAAAACCACTGGCCGCAACTCCGAAGCGCCTGCAGAGGATGCTGTTGCGGCTGCAGAAGTATAATTTGCAAGTCAAGTACAAGAAGGGAAAAGAAATGCTTCTAGCAGACACACTGAGTTGCGCCTACCTGCCGGAAGTAAATACTACCGAGTTTACAAGAGAGGTGGAAGACATAGATCACCATGTATGGCTCCCCGTGACCGAGGATAGTTGGCAACAACTGAGGAACACAGTGGCAGACGATCCAGTACAGCAGAAACTACCAGACATCATCAGAATTGGATGGCCTGAGAACAGGGCACTGGTTCCTGAATGTGTGCGTCCTTACTTTGATGTGCGTGATGAACTAACCATCCCGAATGAGCTTGTCTTTCAAGGTCAGCAGATTGTTGTTCCTGCAGTTTTGAGGAAAGAACTTATGGAGAAGACACACGCGTCACACATTGGCATTGAAGGATGCATAAGCCGAGCAAGAGACACCCTGTACTGGCCACGTATGACCACAGAGATCAAAGAATACATCTCCAAGTGTGACGTCTGTATGACACATCGCACTGGCCAAGGAAAGGAACCAATGCTCCAGCATGAGTTTGTCACATGGCCCTGGGCTAGGGTTGCTGCTGACCTCTGTGAGTTTGACAACAGAATATTGTTAGTTGTCAGTGACTACTACAGTAACTTCATCGAGGTAGCTCGCCTGAGCAACCTTACCTTACCGATATTTGCAAGATATGGCGTACCCATCACCCTAGTCACAGACAATGGTTCGCAGTTCTCCTCTGCGGAATTTGCAGTTTTCGCGAAGACATGGATGTTCGAACACAAGACATCTTTGCCAACCTATCCTCAGTCTAATGGAAAGGCAGAGAAAGTGGCGCAGACCATCAAAACCTTGTTTAGAAAGTGCAAGCCAATCGGAACATCAGAGTTTCAAGCACTATTAGACTGGCGCAACATGCCCACAGCTGGAATTGGAACCAGTCCTGCCCAATTCCCAAAGAAGAAGACACTCGCAAACTACTTGGTACAAAGCAGCGGCAACAGTTCTACTATAACAAGAAAGCCAGTCCCTTGGAGCCAATCAGTGTCGGGGATGCAGTACTTATGAGACTACCTGGTGAGAAAACATGGAGTCCTCGAACATGCACAGCTAACGCAGGCTCGAGGAGCTTCAGGGTACAAGTAGGTAATGCAGTTTACAGGAGAAATCGAAGGCAGCTAATCAAGACAGGAGAATCAAACAAGGCCACATTGCCAGAGGACATGGCTGACCCAGAAAACCTTACATGCAGAAGTGTCTGAGCCAACGGAACTGCCCCACCTGAAGAATGCCCCCCATCAATATCAAGAGAAACCACCGAGTCACAGAGACCACAACAGCACACGAGGCCGCCCGGCTGGCTTAAGTTACTTTGTAAGGAGAACTTGTTAAGAACCTATAAGTGACAGTGAATGTACTTTTAACATGTTTTGGAAAAAGGGAAGATGTGACAAGTTGCATGACTTGCTATGTGATATCTAACCACACGAGTTTCTGTTATATTGTTGATTCAGCCAATGAAATGCATTTACGCGTGATTGCACAACCGTGTGCTGGAGTTCCTAAAACGTTGTAGAATGTCGCTTGACTGCATATAGTTGTTTACAATAAATCTCCATTTAATACCCAAGTGCTGTTTCTTACACCTCCTTTCCTATGGAGTCAAGCTCAGTTTTCATCAGAGAACGTACAGCAAACTGAAACAATTGCAAGTCTTCGTATTCATGTGGAAAGAGCAATTAGGAGAATCAAAGAACACCATTTCTTTTTATTCTGATGTGCCAATGAATGCATTAGATTCAATCAATCAGATATACACAGGGGCATGTCTTCTCAAAAAAATTCGCAAAATTCGCGTTTTGCGACTACTTCCAAAGTTTGGAATCCCTTGGAAATTTCTATGACGCTTTCTAGAATGTCAAATAAAAACAACCGTATGGTAAAAGAGAAATCTAGCAATTGAGTGAAGATAAATTACGCCTGAAAGTGCGCTGAGATCGACTTCTCATACAAGCAGGATGCTAACATTGTCAATTTTCAAGCCAAATTTGCGACCTCTTCCGAAAGCGCAAGAACAAAGTGAGAATGATACACTGTTCAATTGAACTTTCTTCTTTAAAAGCCATATGGTAAAAGTAGCATTTGAAAAGAAGTTTATCCGTAAATGAAGAGAACGTAAGCCTTCCTCGACATTTTCAGCCCTTTTCCTTCATTGTTTGACAATCATTTTCTAATTAGCTTTTAAATTTGGCGCCAGCGTCTCAATGAAAATCCCGGATATGTCGCTGAATTCTGGGCGATGAGGCTCTTTGATTCCTAACCCAAATGGGAGTCAGTGTTAACTGAATCATCCTTGTCATCATTACTGTTATCACCACTGTTATCACCTTCTATGAAAGATGTGCATGTGACAAAGATTTGGTTTTTAGAATCACCCGATACATTGCTATGTTCATGAAGGAAGCTTACTATAATTGTGTACAGCATTCATTTCATGTTATTAGCCTTTCTGAAACAAAGATAAAAAGTAACTGTGATCTAACTAGCAATATTGCCATTGCCAAGGATATGATTTTGTCTCCAAGTCAACTCTAACTAATACTGTTGGTGTGTGGTTCTTCATCAAAGAGGGGATTCAATTTCATATTTTAGATGATCTTTGTTCAACAACAATAGTTTGAATCTCTATGGATTGAGATTAATCATGATCCATATAAAAATATTTTGTGCACTGTCATATATAGACACCCAAGTGGTAAAACTGAGGACTTTAACAAATATCTTTTCTCAACTCTAGAGAAACTTTCAAAAACTAAGAAGTTGTGTTTATTCAAGAGTGACTTTAATATCATAAATCTTCTGAACTTTGAAGACTCAGATAACAGGAATTCATTAATAATGTGATTTCTTATGGCTTCTTACCACACATTCTGCAGCCTACAAGAATCACTGATCACATATTTTCTTTAACTCTAATAAATTTGTTGCTACAAGTGGAAATTTGGTTTGTGACCTTACAGATTATTTAACAAATTTCTCAATTATCAACAAATCTTGGACAGCAAGTGATATGACCAGGTTTGCACGTGATTATTCTTGCTTTGATCAGGATAACTTTTTAGCAGATGTTGAGTCAATTCAGTGGGATAATGTTTTTAGGGAAAGTGACATCAATCAGATGTATGATTCCTTTTATTCTGTAGTCAATACTACAATAGACAAACATGCTCCTTTAAAAAAGTTCAGTAAACGAGGAACAAAATTTTAGTCCAAACCTTGAAATTACTCAGGGTATTAATATATCTATTAAAACATAAAATAAGCTAAGAAAACATTACATAAAAAGTAAGTCTCAAAGTAATCACTCTCGCTATAAAATTTTCAAGAAGAAACTAAAGCATATTTTAATTGGTAGTAAAAAACTCTATTGTAGAGAATACTTTACTTACCATGTTAATAATGCAAAAGCCACATGGAAGGGTACTAAGCAGCTTATTAGCTTTAAGCATAGTAAATTGTCCTTCTGAGATAAATAAACAGTTGATGGTAACACCTTAACTGATGCCAAAGATACAGTTAATGCATTCAACAAATATTTTGCCTTAGTCTAGCCAATGGCATTCAACTTGGCAATAGAATCTTTGTGGAATATTTAACCAATTCACAATGCAACAGTTTTAATTAATCACCAGTATCACTAACGGAAGTTGAGAATATTATTTCTAGCCTAAATGCAAATAAAACACTGGGGTCACATAGCATCTTACTGAAAA